AAAAAAAAAAAAAAAAAATTGAAGAACATCAACCCATAACATAACCAAAACAATAATTAATGTTTCTTCATCCAAAATAGGCAACTACATCAATTCTTCTTCTTTCTTTTGCCCTTCCCCTGTACTATTTTTGTACCCTGTTTAGCAAGACATGCATTCAAGTCTGAAAATGTGACATATTTCTGAGGCTTCATGTTATATGCTGAAGATCCTCCAGGCTCATTGTTCTGTTGGGACTGAAGTTGGTCCCATATGGTTGGAGGTTGCTCCAATGTAGCATCATTCAATACACCATCCTGAAAAGCAATAAAAACATATTAATGTACCATATATATGTATATATATATATATATATATATATATTTTTTATTATATCACACATTAATGATGAAAAATGTCAATAACTTTATTAACAATTATCACCTGGATAGCAATATTCTGATTTGGATTTGATGGCTTCTTAGGATTGGGGATTGAGGTCTTAGGAACCTATACATTGCATTGCAATTAAGTAAGTACATATAATGAAATAAAGGAAATAACATTATCAATATCATTATTACCTGTGGAGTTGGAGGGAGAATAGCTTCTTCTTGAGTGACTTGACTAGCAAATTCACTTGTTGTATTCTCATGAACCTATATAATTATGATAAAGGAAATTAATAACCATCATATAAACATAGACTGCAAATAAGGAAAATATCATTTTGCAATATCACCTGTGGAGTGGGAGGGAGAGTATCTTCTTGAGTGACCTGACTTGCAAATTCAGATGTGCTTTTGCAATATTTTCTGTTATGACCCTTTGAACCACAGTTACCACAAGTGATCACATTCTTTTGCCTTTGAATCTTGTGGGGATAAAGACATTTTTGTCTTCTATTCCTCTTCTTTTCTTTTGGCACAACCTCATCAGTTTCTAGCTGTGGTGGGTCTACCTGCCCCTCTCCCAAAATTGGGGGGTTTGGCAGGTATAAAATTGGACATAGGCCATTGGTCTCTGCCATTCATTGGCATTAAGATGCTTGCATATACAGCTTTGTAAGTATCCAGATAGTAACATCTGTCAACAAAGTCATTTACTTCAAACCCCCCACATCTAATGGCAGATAAGGCATGAATACAAGGAATTCCAGTGAGATCCCACTTCCTACAACCACATGTCTTATTGGATAGGTCAACAGAAAATTGGGAACCATTGCTGCAGCTTATCTGATAGTTAAATTCACTTGCTTTTATAGGGATACAATCAGGAATGTAGGAAAGGTTTTGTTGAACAATCTTATTAATCCTAGGGCAAATGACATTTTTTCTCCAATTCTTGGTAGCTCTATCTCTCTCTCTGGCCTTTTGCATTTTTTCCATCAAATACAACTGAATCATTTCAAGCATAGTTAGGTCTAGCCTCCAAAATGTTCCCATTAAGGGTCTCACAAAGATTGTTTAACAAGATGTCTGACTTAGCCAATGTGGTGAAATGAGATCTACTCCATTGGGCAGGAGGCTTGTCTTTAAGCCAGTCATATGCCTTCTCTTCTAGTTGTCTCACCTCAGACATCCTCCTTACAAAATCATTCACAGTTGTGGCCTTTCCTGCTCTCCACACAGCTAATTTGAATGATTGTCCTTGAAAACCAGCTCTCCTCATGTTACCTTGCATATGTCTAATACAAAACCGATGTTCAGCATTTGGAAACACATCATTGAATGCTTGGATAAGACCTTTCTGCTTGTCTGACATGAATCACCATTGATAATCATCTTTAATTCCAAGATCAACCTTCAATAACCTCAAGAACGGAAAAATTAGAGATTTAGTCCTTTAAGTGGTACCAATTTGAGGTTTAGTCCTGTAACTGACCAACTTTTAGAAAAGGTCCCGTAAGTTCCAAAAAACGTGATAAATAGTCCGACCACCGGCTGACGAAGGTAACTCTTACCGGCTTGCTTACCTGGATTTTGTTTTCAATTTTTCTTTTTTTAATGCGCCACATCGGTAAAAAAAATGAACGGTCACTTAATTTGGGGGGAAATCCCTAATTCTTTCCAAACTCGTCATTTCACTTTCTCTAACCCTAACAAAGCTCGATCCCGATTTCATCCAAGCCATAAGAAACCATTTTCTGAAAAAATTCAGTTCCTTGAAAAGTTCTGCTACAATGCCCGATCTAATGACGTTCAGGCCACCAGAACACTTCGAGTTTGAACCACCCGATTATGGTAAGTTCTGTTGTTAATTTTCTGAATTTCAATTTCATTACCAAAGTTTGAACACTTCGATTCTGTTGTTTCTGAATTTTCTCAATGTCCCCAAAGTTCATGTGTGCTTTCCGAAACCCTAGTTGAAATGTTTATTGTCGTCTTCTATTTTGCAGTTCGATTTAACATAATCTATGTTTTTTTTGTTTTGTTTTGTATGCAGACTCGAAAAGCCAACTCTTCACTTTATGTGTCCATTTTAGGGGACATTTCCATAGTAATGGTGGAGAAAAGAAGTACATCGGTGGGGCAGCTTACAAGTTCGACTTTGTCCGAGAAGGTCTGATGTCTTTAGAAGCACTTTACAGGCTGGCAATTAGAGAGAAAATGGAGGGGACCATTACTTACTGGGGAAAATCTGAGGTAGGTCTCATTACTGAAATAAAAAATGATGGGGAATTACTTGTTTCCATTAAAAGAGCTATAAATGGTTCTAGAGAGCTCTTTATTTATTTTGATAATGGGGCTAAGTGCATCACATGTGATGAAGACTCTAATGATTGGAAGATAGATGATGAATCATTGGCAAATTATGACTATGAGGCTGAGTTGGGATTTAAGGTTAGTGGGCAGTGTGAAAGAAATGATTCTGAAGCTGAGGTTGGAGTGAAGGCTAGTGGGCAGTGTGAAAGAAAGGATTCTGAAGATGAGGTTGGAGTGAAGGCTAGTGGGCAGTGTGAATACAGGGGCTCTGAGCATGAATTGGAAGGTAAAGATGATGAGGGAGATGGTAGTGTTGAGAGTGTTAATAGTGATAATAGTGAAGACCTTGACTTTGAGATTAGTGGAAAAGAATGTGATAATGAGGATGATGATCTTATTTTCAATGAACATATAGACTCTGATGTGGAGTGGTGTGATCACAATACATCAATCCCTATTGGACCTGCTGAAGAAGATGATGAATTGGGTGATACAGATGTGGTGGAAAGTGAGGATGAATACTACAGCGGGAAGGAGTCTGATGAGGAGGTGAACAAGGTTGAAGCTCCTCTGTTCAATTCACTTCAACAGTACAATCCAAGGTTGAAGCTTGGAATGGTTTTCAGCACAAAGAAAGAAGTTAGGATGACAGTTCACTCAGATGCAATTAGGAAAAAAAGAAATGTGAAAATTACTAAGAATGACACCCTCAGATTGCATGCTAAGTGTGTTGAGCCTGACTGTGAATGGAGGTTGCATGCAATGAAGATTAATGATTCAAGTACATATAGAATCAGAGAATATGTCTCCAAACATTCTTGTCCAATGACCATGGATGTTAAAAATCTTAATTTAACTTGGTTGGCTGGGAGATATCTCCATAAGTTCCATTCAGATCCTACAAGAAAACCCAAAGGATTCAGAGTTGATTGTGTGCAAAGTCTAAGGTGTAATGTCACCCCATTTCAGGCATGGAGGGCAAAAAAACTTGCTTTGGAGAAGCTGGAAGGAAACATAGAGGAACAATACAAACTGTTGTGGGCATATGCAAATGAAGTAAGGAGATTTAACCCTGATTCAAATGTGGTAATTGGGCTGCACCAGGATCAAACATTTGAGAGGATTTATGTTTGTTTTGCTTCACTGAAGATGGGTTTTCTAAATGGGTGCATAAGGGTTATTGGAGTTGATGGGTGTCATATCAAGAGTTCACAAGGTGGAGTACTATTAACAGTTGTGGGTTTGGATCCAAACAACAGTATTTTTCCTATTTGTTATGCTGTTGTTGAATTGGAGATGGTGAATCATGGGGTTGGTTCTTGAGGGGAAAAATTAGAGATTTAGTCCTTTAAGTGGTACCAATTTGAGGTTTAGTCCTGTAACTGACCAACTTTTAGAAAAGGTCCTGTAAGTTCCAAAAAACGTGAAGTAAGGATTTAGTCCTGTTAAAACATACTTCTATCGAAGTATACTTTAAATACTCTTTAAGATTGTACTTTTTAAAATTTATGATTCAGTTGTACCAGATTCTATATTTTAAATTCAGAACATTAAATTATTCATTTATTGACTCACAATTTAATTT